TTAGCCTTTATGGGACAGTTGTGCAATTCTGGACACAAGAGCAGGAGCTCAAAATCCAGGGCATATTGGAGGGGGAGTAAACTTGCTGTGATTTCAGGTTGGTAGGGGAAGAACCATGCAATTGCTTCTGCCCAGTTCCAGATTTACGTATAAGCTAAACCAGTGGCAGAGCTTCATGCTCCAGCACCGGGGGCGGAGAGCAGGTAGAGGCGTGGCAGGTGCGCATCCCGGGGGTGTGACGCGCCTCCTGCAGGGGTTCGGCACACATCCTGGGGGTGTGGCACGCTGCCTGCAGCGGCATGGTGCCCAGTACAGGGGGGGGCAGCCGCAATGGCACCCCATCGGCCTCGTGGTGCCGGGGGTGGTGCGCTCCCCCTGCATAATGGACTATGCAGAATTAGATAAATTAACAGGAAGGATTCAAAACCTGCGGGATCAGAAATTCTTAGAGGACTGGAGTAAATATTTGAACTATTTGAAAAGCAATTGTGATAAACAGATTACGCTAGTAGGACTGCAAGAAGTTCTGTAAGGAGGACTTTGTGAAATATTGCAAGGAAGACTTTGAAAAGAATTATTAGTTAAGGACAATTAAAAGTAATAGAGAATTTAAGAAATGCAGAACAAGTGATAAAGAACGGAAAATCCTCAGAGGTTGTTGACGGAAGTCTGAAATATTGTATAAGATAAGAAGTTATGTTAAATGATTGTTGGAACTTATATGTTAAAAAATTTAGAGAGAGAGAGAAGAGAAGACTCCCTGGAAAAGACCCTGATGTTGGGAAAGATAGAGGGCACAAGGAGAAGGGGATGACAGAGGACAAGATGGTTGGACAGTGTTCTTGAAGCTACCAACATGAGTTTGACCAAACTGCGGGAGGCAGTGGAAGACAGGAGTGCCTGGCGTGCTCTGCTCCATGGGGTCACGAAGAGTTGGACATGACTAAACGACTAAACGACAACAACAGCATGTAGTGTCATACATACACATATATCCTTAGGCTGTTATTTTCATTACACCATTGCACTGTCTTTCCCATTATTGTGTTATGCCGCATTTGGAACCCAGCCAATCACACCAGAGCAGGGCTAGAAATATTCATGATGGGAACATTGAACATTCCATTGAAGCCTCTGCATTGCCATTCTTCTTGAATACAAAGGACTCAGCAACTTGTGCTTAAGGATTGTGCTGGAGCTAAGATAAATATGTGTAATGAAATCTGCTCTTAGTATCATTATTTTTTGAGTAAAAATACTACCCAGTAAAACTGGGCAGATAAGTCAACATGATGGAATGAACTACTTGCATGAGTAAACGCTACTCTGTGTGAGTGAAGGTTGCCAAATTATTCCCTGAAGGAAAACTTCCGAGAGAAAGAGAGAGATTACCAAGCCATTCAAGCTCGATGTATAATATAAACGGCCAAAGCTTTTGATCAAAACCCAATTAACTTGTCATATAATCTTTTCTTTAGCCCCTTCTCATTATTGATGATGAACCAAATTTTCTGTTTGCAAACAGAAACTCTTTTCCTGGGAGACTTTCAGACCTGATTTATTTAATGATACTAGACAGTGGGTATACTATCACACTTTCCAGTGGTGAGTTATGATGATAAAGTGAGAACTAGTGATGTGTGCAATGCACATAGCTTCAGTTAAATCTGAATCTGGATGCCCTGGGTTAGGGCTATGAAACCCACACATCTATTTACAACCCCGCTCCAGAGATTTCTGCTCCTATCTCTGTTCTGTGGCTGTTCTTCTCCTTTCTATAAATTGCTTCATTGCTCTGATTGCTATTGGAGTTTCCTGTTTGGTATGACAATTAAGAGTGAGAAGAAATATGGAGGGCTGGGGAGAGAGGGTTACACTGTTATCCCAGCTAAATGTATTTCACACAGGGAATCTGAATGTATTGTTACACCACGCAGCATCACAAGACCCATACAAGAGCAGTGTTTCCTACCCACACTCTGATTTATCCAGTGCAACTTTGTCTTGAAGCCAGTACTAAGCGAGGGAAATGCTTCCTGCTTTCACTCCGAATGGGCAACCCCATTCCCCCATGCTTTCCATCCTCTGGGGGCACCTTTTGCAAAGGACAAACAGTTTTGACAATCTATATGGCTATGTATACAGATACAGATATAGATGTAGGACTTACCTTATTTTTCTGACTGCAAAACGTTTTAGATGATTTCCATATTGTATTTTCATGTTGTTGTAACCCACCCTGGGAACTTCTGGTGAAGGACAGGCAAGAAGTAACGCTCGTTCTGCTTGCAACTCATTGTGGTTCAGCTGGCAAGTGGCTGTTGTGTGGAGGAGACATAGGTAGGTAGTTGCTTATTGGTTCTAGTCCTTATTAGCTCTGCTGATGCCACCGTCATAAAAATATTATGTTGATACTACCATTATATAAATACAGCAAGAGGATCCAACCAGGTCCAGTTGTACCTGAACACATGGGAAATGAAATGTTAGAAGAATTATTTAAGAAACTCATAATAATTTATTGATCTTTAAGGTGCCCCTGGAATTATTAAAAAAAAGCTTTTTTCATCTTTCATCTTGTTTTTTATTAAGAAACTCAGACCAGGTCCCTATCACCCATAGGTAGAAAAGGAAAACATGGGATGAGGGTGGTGCTGTGGCCTGAACCATGGAGCCTCTTGGGCCTGCCAATCAGAAGGTTGGCAGTTCGAATCCCCGCAACGGAGTGAGTTCCTGTTGCTCTTTTCCAGCTCCTGCCAACCTAGCAGTTCAAAAGCACACCAGTGCAAGTAGATAAATAGGTACCGCTGTGGTGGGAAGGTAAACGGTGTTTTTGAGCACTCTGGCTTCTGTTACGGTGTTCCGTTGTGCCAGAAGCGGTTTAGTCCTACTGGCCACATGACCTGGAAAGCTGTCTGTGGACAAACACCAGCTTCCTCGGCCTGAAAGTGAAATGAGCGCCGCAACCCCATAGTCGCCTTTGACTGGACTTAACCGTCCTGGGGTTCTTTACCTTTTTAGGTAGAAAAATGTCATAAACTGAAGTGATATAAAATAAGTGGCTATCATGAGCATAACAGTCATGTGTTGTGTTCCTCAAGGACTGAGAACATGCCAGTGTGGATTTTTGAAAATTTATTTGTTCCATTCATCATTCATATCTCCCCTTTTCCTCCAAAGAGCTCAAAATGGTACAGTGTGGTGCCAGTGTGGTGTAGTGGTTAAGAGCAGTAATCTCGTAATCTGGGGAACCAGGTTCGCGTCCCCGCTCCTCCACATGCAGCTGCTAGGTGACCTTGGGCCAGTCACACTTCTTTGAAGTCTCTCAGCCCCACTCACCTCACAGAGTGTTTGTTGTGGGGGAGGAAGGGAAAGGAGAATGTTAGCCGCTTTGAGACTCCTTCGGGTAGTGATAAAGCGGGATATCAAATCCAAACTCTTCTTCTTCTACACATGGTTTTCACCCCAATCATTTTATCCCCACCACAACTCTATGAGACAGGCTGGGCTTAAAGGTACTTTAGTGACTACCTGCCTAAAATGATCCAGTGACCTTCATGGCTGAGTGGGGAATTCTAGTCCAACATTCTAATCTCTATACCCCACTGGCTTTTGCCTTCTCTGCAAGCCAAAACTTGGGAATTTAATGGAATATTTGTTACTGCATTGTTGGCTCATAGTATGGAGCCGAGTTGCTTTGATGCCTCAGTGCGGTTGTGTTTTCAATATAGGCTTCCTGCGTTGCCAATTAGCATGACATAACTGTCTCACACCATTTGTTTAAATTATATTTGGTGATAGACGGTGTATGCAGCTGTTACATCATAATCACTGTTCTTCATTAAATCAGCAGGAGTGGGGTTTTTGTTCTTGCTATTTTAATTTTGTATATTGCAGATACGATCTGTCATGGAAAATTACACCCTCTGAAAGATCTGTGCAAACGACTGTAGGGAAAAGTCAGGTTAGCTGTTGCTTCTGCTGTTGTGTGCATAACCCAAAGGGCAGGGGAAAACTGCTTGGTTCTATTTGTCATTCCTTAAACAGTGCTTATTGAATTGTGCATACAAGTGCAAACAGTATAGGCATTGTTCGTTGCACTTCCTAATTGCAGGTCTGCACAACTGCTGACCCACCAAGATCATCAAATCCCGTCAGCTATGCAGTGTGGCCTACCAGATGGGTCCTCCACCCTTCTTCTTCTTCTTCTTCTTCTTCTTCTTCTTCTTCTTCTTCTTCTTCTTCTTCTTCTTCTTCTTCTCTTTTTGCTATCTTCTAAAATAGAAGGTTTTATCAAGCCATGAGTGGTTTGTAGCTCACAAATTGTGTAGTCCTGTACCAACAGAATATATTGTTGCGGTCAACAGAGGTCTTGACAAAGTTCTCTCCAACCAGTTCTGAAATAGACTTTGAGGGCTCTCTGCAAATTTTCTCCTGCTCAGATTAAAATCCAGGGAGAAGAAGAACTGTTAGTTCCCCTGGCCAGCAGGTGAATGAAATAAGGCAAGGTAGAGTTACTGTATTCAATAAGTGAAGAATTCAGACACAGCAGGTGCAAAAACATAGGCTAGGAGCCTGCCCACGGTGGGTCACCCATGGGAGAGGAATCCCCCTCCTTGGTTTTTGCCCCTGCAGGATTTTATTTTCCCAAACTGAATTCAATAGAGCGATGCTACCTTGTTACATTCAGCAGAGGGACAGTGGGAGGGGAGCCCTGACTTAGATGTATCCTATAATTTTGAGTTGAAAATAAAGATTGTTTAGTTCTCTTTGAGACCTCATTTTCAATATCTAATGCATTCAGAGCTGAAGAAAATTGGGCTATAGTCAGTGTTAGTCCTACTCACAGTAGACCTACTGAAATGAATGAACATGTCTAACAGTATATATACTGGTGGCGATTATTTTTTCCAACTTCTCACTTAGGAAGCTCAAGAAGGCTTACATGGCAGCTTCCTGTTTCCGGCGGGGAAACTGCCAACTTTCTGATTGGGAAGCAAGAAGCACAGTGGTTTAGACCACAGCACCACCTGCTTCCTGAATATACAAGCATACAATCACTGATAGTTCCACCTGCCATTGTGAGGCTCAAAGCAATGAAGATGATGCCTCCCCTGCTGTTGCCATTGGCTGTGGGTTTCTTGTGATGTCACAGAAGCACTTGGCAACTGAATGGATATAAAGGCAGGCCAAGGGGAAAGCCCTTTTCTGTTTCCAGCAGGACACACCTGGCAATGCAGGCGACATTCAGCTCTGCCCAGGTTTCTTCCACTTGGAGGAAGCAAACAGGTGAATGGAAGGAGGCAATCCTCTGGCAGTGGGATGCTAGGAAGCGAAAATAAGGCAAGTTTGGTTGCTTGAAGGCTGCTGGTACCTGTGGTTGGAAGCTGGTGGAGATCTCATGATGGACCTAACAGTAGCTTCTGGCTCAACAGAACACCGTGACTGAAACCAGAGCACACGGAAACACCATTTATCTTCCTGCCACAGCAGTACCTATTTATCTACTTGCACTGGTGTGCTTCAAACTGCTAGGTTGGCAGAAGCTGGGATAGAGCAAAGGGAGCTCACCCCATTGTGCAGATTCAAACCACCAACCTTCCGATCCCAAAGCCCAAGAGGCTCAGTGGTTTACACCACAGCGCCTTAGAGAGATATAGAATCAGTGGCTGACTACCACACAACCGGACCCCAGCTGTGCCGGTAATTCAGGGCTGATATGGGGGTAATTAGCCCTGGCAGACTCCCCGGGTTGGGGAAGGACTGTCTTGTAGACCCGCAGATTGTCTGAGAATGCCAACTTGCATCAAGGTGCAAGCGGCAAGACACTGGGTCACAGAGCCAGTACGGCCGGCACTCTCCAATGCCATTCTCATAGCCGGGAATATCTGTTTGAAAAAATGAATAGATTTGGACAATAAACAGACATGGACTGGATCGAAGAAGCTTTAGAAAAAACCTGCAGAAGTGTACAGTCCCTGGGGGTTTAAGCTCGGACTTCAAAAAGATTCTCATCATGGTGTTTGGATAACGGAGGTGTTTGGTATGGGTTTTCCTCTCTCTACTTAACATCTGCAACTGGTTTTCAATGCCAAGCCTCATTAAGAACTTATTATTTTTTAAAAAAGAGTACAGATGGACTTCTATTTATAATTAGGCATTTAATTGTGCAGCTTTACTTAAGACTTGAAAGACTTGATAAAGATGGAAGAGGAGGCAAGATGGCGCTCACTAATATGACGCAGCATGGAAGAATATATTCCTCCCTTTCTTCGAGGGAAGCAGGAGTTATGTGCTGGCTGATTTTGCAATGATTTGAGATAACATCTTGGAACAATACACAGTGCAGCTGTTTGCAGAAGTTTTTTATATTCATTATGAGTGAGAGAGAAGGCTAAGTGGTGTCCAGCAGCCCACCCCCAGGGCCCAGAGTGGGGAGAGTGCGGTCTCCAAAGGCTGATCAATCGCCAAATGACTGATATTTGTGGAATACAGTTCATCTACACTGCAATATTGCAAACAGTTAACTTGGAAGGTATTGGTTCAATAAAGCTCAAAAGGAAGGTTTGGACAATTAATGACTGGGAGTTGCTGCGCCATTAAATTTCAGATAACAGACTTGGACAACATTCTGGATTGGAATGGAGTCAGAGGAAGCTGCGCAGTTGGAAGAATATATACTAACAAAGCTGTATTTGACGGATGAAAGTATATTATGTTTGACATGACTGAGAATCGTGAACTCAGGGACGGAGAATTATAAAGCGTCAAAATCGAGATGTGGAAAATATGGAAACAATGAGGAGAGGCAGGACTGAGATGTGGAGATGCGCTTCAGAGGCCCAGACTGTGGCGAGCTCCAAAAAATTAATAATCATAATTTGGACTATAATTTGGTCTTTTTTATTTTAGTTTTTTATTTTAATTGGAGTGTTATGATTGGATATATTAAATGGATGTTTTTTATTGGAAAATCAATAAAAATGATGTTTTTAAAAAGAAGGCGGCTTACATGGGATTCTCAGTGGTCCCCTCAATCATCTATGAGGTGCACCCAGTGCCAGATTTATGTATAAGCTAAACAAGCTATGTGGGACGTGGGTGGCGCTGTGGGTTAAACCACAGAGCCTAGGACTGGCCGATCAGAAGGTCAGCGGTTTGAATCCCCGCGACGGGGTGACCTCCCGTTGCTCGGTCCCTGCTCCTGCCAACCTAGCAGTTTGAAAGCACGTCAAAGTGCAAGTAGATAAATAGGTACTGCTCCGGTGGGAAGGTAAACGGCGTTTCTGTGCGCTGCTCTGGTTCGCCAGAAGTGGCTTAGTCATGCTGGCCACATGACCTGGAAGCTGTACGCTGGCTCCCTCGGCCAATAAAGCGAGATGAGTACCGCAACCCCAGAGTCGGTCACGACTGGACCTAATGGTCAGGGGTCCCTTTACCTTTTAAACAAGCTATAGCTTAGGGCTCCACTCTCTTGCGGCCCCCCAAAAAAATTAAAGGAAAAAAACACACCTGGATGTACATTTCCAAAATATAAGTTAAAATAAAAATAAAATAAAACCTACATACAGCAACAGTGTTTTGTGCTGTGTAGGCTCCCACGATGTAAGTAGTGGGCCCTGCCTGCTACCCTGCTCCCTAAAATATCACTGGTTTGCTCATTATGAGTCTTTGTAAATTGTGTTTCTAAAGGAACTTTTGTTATTGCCAAATGCCAATGGGTTTGCATTATTGTTATGAATAAAAAATCATTTTAAATTTGAGCTTAATAATTATTTCACTATTAATATACTTCTTCTTAATTGTATTTCACTGTTAATATACTTCTTCTTAATTGTATTTCAGTTCAACAATTACTTTGATAAAATACATATTTTGTGATGTGCAAATGGCTTTAGATACCTACTGGGTCCATAAATTACCACATAGCATACATCCAACACAAAAACCAGTGACAATTTGTTGTTGACAAAGGATAGCTGGACATATAAAGGGCCCCATTACCTTCAGTAGCTTAGGGCCTATCAAAACTTAATAATAATAATAATAATAATAATAATAATAATAATAATAATAATCTGGCCCTGGGTGCACCCATGCTTACTTTCAACAGTGTGCAATATGATGTGCTTCTGAACTAATATAAAAACACTGCAGTGTCAATACTATGAAGAAATAGTAGTGTCAACTCACCATGAAAATTGTCAACCATCCATGCAGTTCTGTAGTGTATGGGATTTTGTTCCTTAAACACTAGCGTCCTCAGTATTCCAGATAGCAGGAATTCTTGTGGAAGACATTTCAGTTTTCACAATAAAAGTTGGAATGGGGAGCGGGTTAAGCTTTTCCTCCTGATGCAATTATGAAACTTTTCCACTTTATCATTTTCTCAGTTGTCTGCAGTTGTTTCATGAACATTTTGTTACTCTTTAAAGTTAAACAGTCTGACTTTTCAAAAGTTTGGTCTTATGAAGGCAGGCGACGGAGACTCAAAATTCATTTCCACCTCAAGTTGCACGGCGACAACCTGTGCAAATGAGCCGCTCATCCGCACACACTTTGTCAAAATAGGAGCTAATTTGTTCAAGTTACAAGTCTAAAAGTAGCAACAGGAGCAACTGGCATTTGGGTATAAAATTATCTCTTCTGGCTCCTGCACTTTCCTGCTTAATACATAAGATTTTCCCTACTTGGATAAGACAATGATACGAGGCTCCTGATAACTTTTTTTTTAACCAATAACTTTATGGAGTGTAATAAATACCAGCCCCAGTGAAACATGCTGTCAAAATATGGATCAAAATCACTGTGAGCTATCAAATATTTCAGCTTGAGTGAGAATATATAAATCTTTTTGTTGAATGTTTGGAAGCTATACTGTGTCTGCATGGCAGGACGTTGGACTAATGACTGTCGTGGTTCCTTCCAATACTACAATTCTATGATTCTATGATTTTATGGGACTGAAGAAGCAGTGTCATGTAGTAGAAACAAATCCTAAAGCAGGCTGAGGCAAACTCCAGCCCTCCAGATGTTTGGGACTACAATTCCCATCATCCTTAGCTATCAGGACCAGTGGTCAGGGATGATGGGAATTGTAGTCCCAAACATCTGGAGGGCCGGAGTTTACCTATGCCTGTCCTAAAGGATGCCTTGGCTTTCTGCCCTGGAAGCATTTTTGCTAAACTCAGATTCTTTACTTATGGCCAAATTATTATTATTATTATTATTATTATTATTATTTTATTTTATTCTCAGACATCTTTATTGAAAGTTTAAAAATTACATATTTATATGTGCACTAAACATGATGAGACGTAATTAAAGAGAGAGAAAGAAAAAGAGAAACAGCTCCCGTTTATAGAAGGGAAAATAAAGGGGGGAGAGGAAGAAACCCAAAACTGTATACTTTACAAAGTTGTTATTGTGCTTCACCAGATCGTAATCTATTACACTATTTGTAAGAATGGATTCCAGATATCATTGAATTTGTCCACGACAAGTCTGCGTTTACATGCAAGTTGTTCATATGTTGCGAGTTTGTATAAGTCTTCAATCCAATCGCAGAAGGGAGCCGCATTTTAATTTTTCCAGTTCATCAGTATCAGTCTTTTTGATGTGACAAGGGAACGGAGAGTCCACTCGTATTGTCCACTTAGGGCCAAATTAGATGCACAAACTCACCTCTATTTGCCCTGTGTGTATTTTACTTTCAAAATTCTAGCCAAGCTTGTTTCTCCAGAAATTCCCTTTTCACTCTTCTGTGTCCCATAATATTCCCCAGTCCCATGCCTGACCAGATGTTTAATCAAAGAGCTATTAATAAGATCCTCCCTATTTTTTGCTTTAATTTAAAAACAGATACTGAGACGCCGGCACTGTGGGATGAGGTTTAACCCTTCCCACGCATCAATTTTTCTGATTGAAATCTCCGCTGGAGTTGTTAGTCCCACAGGGAGAGCACAAAAGTAGCTCTGGAAGGAGAGAAGAGAGAGACCTGCCACCTTTATCACACTACCAGACTGGTGTTTTGTTGTTGTTGTTGTTGTTTTAAGACAGTTGTGAAGATGTGTGGGGGAGTTAATTTACATTTTGTGGGAGAGAAGTGAGTTCATCTCCTACTCAGAGAAAACGTTGTTGGTTCAAAATGCTTGTGTTCTCTAGATACAGATGTCTCTTGTCGTCTTCTAGTGCCCATGACCACTCAGGGTAGTGTGTGAGGGACACTCTCATTACTTTTAATAAATTACCATAACAAATTATTATATATATATATATATATATATATATATATATATATATATCACAGAAACAATGTGGCTCTTAAAAGAAACAATGGCAGAGATCACAGAATTGACCTCAACAGGTAATACTTAGCAGGCAAGTGTGTGCTGAAATAAAAATATCTTTACCAGCTGGTGATAGGCAAGCAGAGGGTGGAAGTCAGTGAGAGATTTTACATATATATATGTAAGTAAGTTTAAGGTTGTTTTAATAAATTATCAGTGCAGCCAGTGAAAAGGCCATTTCTCTTGTTGTCATCAACTGTGCCTCCACCCTAGGTGGGACGCTGAGAGGTATCTCCTTCTGATTTTAGTGAGCGGGTGGCGCTGTGGTCTAAACCACTGAGCCTCTTGGGCTTGCCGATCAGAAGGTCAGCAGTTCGAATCCTCGTGACGGGGTGAGCTCCCGTTGCTCTGTCTCAGCTCCTGCCAACCTAGCAGTTTGAAAGCATGTCAGTGCAAGTAGATAAATAGGTACCACTGTGGCGGGAAGGTACCGTATTTTTCGGCCTATATGGTGCACCATCCCATAGGGTGCACCTAGGTTTTTTTTTGGGGGGGGAAATAAAGAAAAAAAATATATTTCCCCCCCAGGTGCGGCGCTGGGGCGGGGGAAGCCCGAGCTTCCCCCGACCCTAGCCCCCAGAACAGGCTGCTATCCGCAAGCCTCTCCAGGCTTGCGGATATCTGCCTGAAGTCCGGGGCGCGCTGCTCAGCGTGCCCCAGGCTTCGGGGTGCAGGCTGCTATCCGCAAGCCTAGGGAGCCTGGTGGGAACTCCCGCAGGCTCCCAAGGCTTGCGGATAGCTTCCTGAAGCCTATAGAGCGAGAGGGGTCGGTGCGCACCGACCCCCCTCACTCTCCAGGCTTCAGCGAAAGCTTGCATTCACCCCATAGGACGCACACACATTTCCCCTTCATTTTTGGAGGGGGGAAAGTGCGTCCTATAGAGCAAAAAATACGGTAAATGGTGTTTCCGTGCACTCTGGCACTCATCACGGTCCTCCGTGCGCCAGTAGCGATTTAGTCCTGCTGGCCACATGACCTGGAAAGCTGTCTGTGGACAAACGCCGGCTCCCTCGGCCTGAAAGCGAGATGAGCACCGCAACCCCATAGTCGCCTTTGACTGGACTTAACCGTCCAGGGGTCCTTTACCTTTACCCTTCTGATTTCAGGGGTGCCTCAAGTACCACAACCTCCTGTGCCATCTTACCTAGGTGGTACTATGAGTTGTTGACGTTCATGTTCTAAATAAATGAATTCCAAAGCCTGGCAGCCTCTTTAGCTTAAAAGCGAGTGTGTGGGTGTGTGTATGCTTGTGAACACACACTGGTAGTCCTACACCACCTGACTCAAGGGCCACCTCATGAGTGTATGAAATGGATCTCTATTTTTGCCACACACAAGAAAGACTCACATATTGCCAAGCTGTTCACCAAGCTGTTCACAGAGCCAGTGTGGTGTAGTGGTTTAGAGCGGTGGACTCGTAATCTGGTGAACCGGGTTCGCGTCTCTGCTCCTCCACATGCAGCTGCTGGGTGACCTTGGGCTAGTCACGCTTCTCTGAAGTCTCTCAGCCCCACTCACCTCACAGAGTGTTTGTTGTGGGGGAGGAAGGGAAAGGAGATTGTTGGCCGCTTTGAGACTCCTTCGGGTA